AAAAAAAAGATAACAAAAACATGGATTGGACTAGTAGATTGAGTGATGAAAGGTTGTAGTCTTTTTATTCTTTGGATGTAACTATTCAGCATCAAACGAAGTCAAGATAATCTATCACTTTAGAAGATGCCTGTGGTAGGTTAAAAGATATCTTTTAGGTTAATGCTTTTGTATCTTTTATCATACATTTGATGAACACTCTTTTTTTGGTCCTACCCAATTTTTGAATCCTATGGTACCTTAAGCCATTTCTGCTGTAGAAAATTAATTAATTTCTAAATTGGATTTCCTATTAAATTTAGTTGCTGAAGAAAATTGTCTGCCAGGGATGTGAAGACTGGTTTGCCTGAACTTATGGTTAATTTTGTAACCTCATCCTACAAGCCTGAGCTGCTGATGCCTCTAGTTGAGAAAATCTCAGATATTCCCGAAGTGGTTAGTGTGGGAATACTTTACTTCAATTCTTCTTAGACATTGACCTTGTGATATTCCTCTTCAGAAACTAGTCCAACTCATCTATTCTGTTTCACTGTTGGCACAGTGTCACTATTCCAAAAACAACTCGAGATTGTGATGATATTTCCCTACTATATTGGCCAGACATATATGATATTTTTAGGTTGCTTTTATGTATAATTTATTTTCTAGGGGCGTCATTATCTTCACTTATGTGATGAATACTTATCCTTCTATCTTTGCTACCCCTATCTTCTTTAGAAGGCCAAAATTGGTTACATAACAAATAATTATCAAAGATTACCATTATTGTCATTTGTCAATGATTTTTTAAAAAGCTGCATAGCATCGGAAAATTTCCTGATTCATGAAATTTTGGCACTCAAGTCAAGAGCCGCCCTCTTGGATATTTGGTGAACTTTGTTTCTTATGCACTTGCTAGTTGCTTCAGTTTTTCTCACTTGTTGCCAGCATAAACTTAGATCTAGATTACCAATTTATGCCATAGTGGATTGGATTTTCCCCCTTTGACGTATTGACTTCTAAATCACGTCATGACTGCAGGTTAGCATTGTGAATAATGTAAATTCCTCTGTTGGTAACACTTCTGTTGGAGAGGAGGAACATGTTTTGTATGGGAAATCCACCATCACAGAGATCCTACGAGGTCTAACGTTCCAAATATCGGCGAATTCTTTCTTTCAGACAAACACTCATCAGGTATACAAAATGAGAAATATTTTCTTGAATTCCACTTCATAGTTGTTAATTATAGATACAATCCAGGACACTGACCAAAATTTTGTTTAGGCAGAGGTTTTGTATAATCTGATTGAAGAATGTGCTGGCCTTAAAGGAGATGGTTCAGAAATTGTTCTTGACTTGTTTTGTGGGACTGGTACTATTGGTCTTACACTTGCTAAAAGGTAATTTTGTTTGATCGATTCTTTTGTTTTGAGGACCTGTGCAATAATAGCATGGTTTGCATCTCTTGGTTTCAGGGCTAAACATGTTTATGGCTATGAAGTGGTTCCTCAGGCCATCAAAGATGCTTGTTTGAATGCCAAACTAAACATTATTTGTAATGCCACATTTGTTCAAGGGGATCTGAATAAAATTGATGAAAGTTTTGGCAACAATTTCCCCAAGCCTGATATCATCATTTCAGGTCAGACACTTCATGCTCCTTTACTGATTATTATTGTTCTTTTATCCTCTAGAGGTTCTTGGCTATGGACCAGATAAGAAATTATTGCTCATACAGTTTTGCGAGTATTCAAGGAAGAGGAAGATTCAATCCTCTTTTTTATAACATTTTTTTTTTCCTTTAAAGCTTATAAACACCTTTTCTTTTTTCTCTGTTTTTTTTTTAACATTTTCAAAATCTAAGCCAAATTTTAAAAACTAAAATAAATAGTTTTTCAAAAACTTATTTTTGTTTTTTAAATTTAGTAAAGAATTCAAAGGTATTTTTAAGAATGTGAAAAAATACCAAAACACGGGCATAATTTTTTTAAATAGAAGACTAAAAATAAAATCATTATCAATGGGACTAAGTTTTAGATATGTATACGCTCTGTTTTTGGACTTTCGTCATTTCTGAACTACATGACTGCAACATATATGCAGATCCGAACCGTCCAGGTATGCACATGAAGTTGATTAAGTTCCTTCTCAAGATCAAGGCGCCTCGAATAGTTTATGTATCATGTAATCCTGCAACTTGTGCTCGCGATCTTGATTATCTCTGTCACGGCGTGGTAAGCTTATTCCTACTAGCACAAAACTTCCCTTTATATCAGTCATTTGAGCTGTTGAAATATTCTGTGGTGCAGGTGGACCAAGGCATTAAAGGTTGTTACAAACTGAAGAGCTTACAGCCTGTAGATATGTTCCCCCACACTCCTCATATTGAATGTGTTTGCCTACTGGAACTCATTCCTGATTCCCAGTTGGGGCCATGATTTTTTTTTTTTTTTTACTGAAATTCAAGCCTTCTATTCATGGATTCCAACCAGGGAAGAGAAGGATTTCTATAAATAATTATGCTGTTTTTTTAATCATATCTTATAGCAGAGCAAGATGAGGCGGTTTTATGCGTTTTGTAGTTACTATAGAATGTATAACAAATGAGTCATTAGTTAAAGCAATCTGTATCATCTTCTTATTTTGTTTAGTTTATCCAAAAATTAGAACAGCTGAAGTCAATGAAAGCTATCGTCGTTTCATGACAGTGGTTGCAGGGTTGTTCTGTTTGTCTTTGTTTTAGGAGATGCGTCTTGTAGCATCTGTTAGAATCCATATAAATGAATTAAATTTACTAGATTCATCGGCTTAAACTTTTGAGTTGAGTGGTTGTTTATTCATCATTAAAATAGTATCAGAGCAGGTGGTTCTGTATTCGAATCCTTGCATAGTCATTTCCTTCCTATTGATTTCTACTTGTTAAGCGTTGATATAATTTTCCAAACCCATAAGTGAAGGAGAGTGTTAGAATCTATATAAATGAATTAAATTTTTGGATTGAATTTATTATCTATTATCTAAAGTCGGATGATACATTTTGTATTAAATGGTGTCAAATCATTAACCATAAAATTCGTCGCCTCTCTCTCATATGGTGCTCGTCTAGCCGGTCATCGTTCCGCCGTCGTTCTTCTCCGGTGCTCCACCCACCGTTTCATCTATCGTTCGTCGCTTGATCATTTGCCATCTCGCCAATTGTTGATCCTCTGGCAGCCGCCACTTACATTTTGTTGTTCGCAATCTCTCCTTCGCCATTCTTCCAACCGTCGTGATTCGCTTTTTTTGTTCGCCGCCGCTCCTTCTCGCTCCTTTTGTTTTGGCCACCACCGGCGCTGTTCCTCCAGTCATCACCGGCATCCGCTGATTTAGTCGATCATACCCAAATTTTGATGCATCGATTATGGATTGTTCAGGTATGAACTTCTGGGAGTGATCCTGATCATATTTTGAACCGACTGATTTAAGTTTTTTTTACTTCATTATGTTTTGATCATGGGCTAATTTAGGGTTTATTGTTGGCTTATTATGGACTGTTTTATAGTTTGTCCTTGATTGATTATTGAACTGATTTTAGGGTTTATTCATGATTGATTTGGACTGTTCTTGAATGGTTAACTTAGTTTCGATTGTTTCTGCATGGACCGAAATTTTCTACTGTTTTTGGTTGACTATTTGACTTATTTTGTTTAGAAATAATGTAATTTAGAAATGAATGAGATCATTTTTTTTTTTTGAGAATAGAAATAAAAGAGATCATGGTGATTATGAAACCAATTAAAATTAAAATATTATTATTATTTTTTTACGCAAATTAAAAGATCATTTTAATAGAATTAAAATTAAAAGATTATTTGGTAAACAAGTTCATTAATCCATAATCACGATGACGTTATAGATAATGAAAACGAGAAAATCAAATATTTTATGGGCCGGGAACCAAATACTAAGGCCCAATCCAACTTGTATAGAAAAGGCCCAATCCAACCCACCGGATTCAGCCCAATGGCTCGGCCCAGTTCAATGCCGTGCTCCCCAATTTATTTAAGAATAAAAGTGACCGTTACTCGTAGATTGTCTTGTAAACCCTAACCCGCTCCCGCTCACGATCCCCTCAGTCGTCTTCTCCACTTGCCTCTTCCTCTCTTGATCGCAGGTAAACTTCTCAATCTTTTTTCTGTACGATTTTCGGACGTTGCGGATCTTTGTATGAAACCGAGACAAATCGCTGCCTTTGAGAATTCAAACCCTAATCGCGTCTACCATATGATGTGCAGAAAATTTTTGAATCCGATCTCTACCCCAACCTTTTGAAACACTACGATTCTGAGTTCGATTCCTGTCACGGCTCCCCTTTCCTCATCGCCCTTCGCTTCAACCTTCTCTTCTATCAGTGCCACTGTCTAACTCGTGTGTCCTAAACCCTAATCTTCAACAACTTCTTGAGTCTGCTACTCCATTGGGTTCAAGAGATATATCACTACTTTCTCTGTGGCTTTCGTTGGGACTATAGGTATAGATGTAGATGCTAAATAGTATCATGCTAGTATTGTAAAGACTTATTAATCTCATTTTATTATTTTTATTTTAGACTTGGTGTCAATTCAACTAAGTTTCCAGATATTAATCTTGTGTTCTCAGATATTAATTCTTACATGTCTGTTATCCCTCTATTTCAATTTTTTGATGAAACTTGAATAGGTTTATCCTGTTTGGAAACGGTATGAGAAGTAGGATGGGATTCGTACCTTACAAAAAAGGGGCGAGGATAAGAAATTTATTATTTAGAATGACCAGAGTTACTCTTTCTTTAATTGATTTGTGTATATAATTTTATTGGTATGTTTCAGTAAATAATTTCTCATTTCTTTTACTCCTCATGCTTCACTGAGTAGATTTATTCAATCTCCTCTCTCTGGCAGGGTGATGGGGTTGATTATGATTTAGTGGTTGTTGATGCCGTGCACAAAGAAAACTGTGCAAGCCGCATTTGCCATGCTTACCCATCTAATTGTGAAGCAAAGTAAGTTCTTTTAGCAATATGTGTGTTTTTCCCCTTGCAGTTCATGATATTGAAGGGGTTGTTCAGAACTTCGAGCATACAAACATTGTAATTTCCATCATTTTTCTTTCTCTTCTATCACCTCCAACTGAGATTATTTTTACAATTCTTGTGGTTTCCTTTATTTGGTGTTCTTCCATTTGTATTGCTCATTTTGTAGATAAAATTTATTCCTTACGAAAACATACATGACCATTGTCGAAAATCAAAGGGTTGGTCAAAATCAGTTGCATGTCTAAAATGAAGTCTTTCCAGCTTAACTCTCCTTTAACCAGATGCACATCAATCTTTCGTAGATCATTTTTGGAATTGAGTGTAGCAACCCAACAGTTTACTTGTAGAACTTACTAGGGAAAAATCTAGAATGAGGTGAACTGAGGTGGGACTTGTCTACAGTGTACTTGGTATGGTCATTTTGTACTATTCATTTTAAATATTTTGTTTTCTATATTGTCATGACTTTGGTCCAAAGCTTATCAAGAAGATTATTGCTTTGGTTTCAACTTATGTTTACTGAATAATAAGTTTGATGAACCTGGCCTAATAATGAGATTTGCAATTGTTTCATGCTCTAGTTGTGTATTCTTTTCTTTGTGATTGTTGATAATATTTGCCCCCATCAGTTTCCTTGATATGTTCATTGTCCCTTAATATTGGTTACCTTAAAATGAAGGAACTATTGGTTCCTTCGATATGTTGGTTGTCCCTTAATATTGGTTGCCTCAAAATAAATGATCCAATTGTTCCCTTAATATGTCGGTTGTCCCTTAATTTTGATTACCTTGAAATAAAGGAACGATTTGTTCCCTCGATATTTTGKTTATTCCTTAAAAATAGTTGCTTTGAAATAAAGGAACCATTGGTTCCCTTGATATGTCTGTTGTCCATTAATATTGGTTACCTTGAAATGAAGGAAACATTGGTTTACTCGATCTGTCAGTTGTCCCTTAATATTTGTTGCCTCAAAATAAAGGATCCAATAGTTCCCATGATAGGTCCATTGTCCCTTAATATTGGTTACCTT